AAAAAAAAAAAAAAAAAGAAAAGAAAAATTTATCATGAAATTCTTTTCTTACAAAAATATGAAACGAGATGAATACGGTTATTTACCGAATTCCCTGTACAGTTACCTAATTTATCCTATACAGAAAAGTGAAGTTGACTTTCTTATAAATAAATAATAAATTGATTTATTAATTTATGCACATTAATTTGTTTAGTGCTCTGTCGTACAACCTATGCTGTAAACCTTAAAAAGATTCGTACGGTGTTTGTTGTTTTCTATTTTAATTATGAATTCAACTTAATCGACATCTTGTAAATATGTGACGCAGAAGAATACGTTCAAGAATTTTTAGAATAAAGATAGTTCAGCCGAAGAATGTGTTGCACAAAATGAAAGGTTGAAAAGAGGACAGTCAACCATAAAAGGGAAACTATAATCAATGCCGAATTTCCCTCCCAAAAAGATTTTCAATTTCAAATAACGGGATTGCGTAACAATTATTGGGCAGGATTACTTTCACGGCCATCGGAGTCGAAACGGCGTTAGGGTGTTTATCTAGGCCAATGCGTCGCTGGAAGGCAAGGCTATTTAATCTAATGTTACAAAATGCATGGCTAATCGTTGCATCATCGGCTGCACGTGGAGCTTTCTTGATGTTGCAACTCGTGTCTGACGACTCTCCGATCCCTTCCACTTATTATCAACGGATCATTCTGCTAGCATAGCGATTTGGCTAAACTTTTATCCGATTGGCTAAACTTTCCAAATGCTTTATTTATCCGAAATCCTTTTAGTCGAATATTTTATTCGAGTAATTCTTTATCGATACATAATATTTGTGCGGAGCCATTGAGACGTTTCAATTGAGATGTTCGTTTCTTTCTATTGTACTTGTAAGATGTATAAATGGAGCCAACATAAGTATCCGATGAATCGTTGTTAAAAATCTGTGATTTTTCTCTAGATCTATGTACTTCAATTACGAATTCAACTATTTTGTAATTGAATGGTCCTGACGCGACGCTATTTATCATAATTAGATTGTGGATTTTATGCATTTTTAACAAAAATAATATATTTATTGTATTTATTAATTCAAGTCAATTTCTACCCAGAATATGGGTAGAAATTCTGTAATTGTTCTGTAAATTCCACTACGTAACGAAAGACATTACGTACATCGCAATTTTTAACTTGTTTCTCACGCATCGGAGTAAATTTATGTATACTCATTTGACTACACATAAATGCATAATTGCAGGTAGAGGTAATTAGCGGTAGCCAAGGGATAATTACATAATTTGATCGTCCAGAAGAAAGACAACAAATTAATAAATTCATCGTACGTTTGATCTTCAATTGTGGCTAAAACGATACACCAAAAAAGTCGATATTCGGATGAAGTTTGTTTGCATGTTTGCATATTCTATTCGCCGGATCGGATATTGGACGGGGTCTCAAATTTCTTTGCGACACAAACTGTTGTTAAAGGAAACGCCAGGAACATAAAAATTAACGAAATAAATTACGAATCGATTATGTCACTCACCGTCAGGAGTCCGAACAGTGCCGGCCTTGTTGATCTTCGAGTTCCACATAGCGGGGGTAGTTGGTGCAGGGCTGAGATCAGGTGTTGGGGGATGAGCCGGTGGCATGGGCACCATGGCGGGGCCCATTTGCGCACTGTGCTGAAGGTGGTCCGAATTCTGTCCGTAATGGCTGCCATCGAACCCCCTTCCCCCAGAATACACTTCCCCCGATAATCTTTCCGCCAATTTGTCTGCTCTTTCTTGATCGGTTAATGCCACCGGTTCTTGCTTTATTCGGAGATCTGCAAACAATCGTTCCATTATATTGATTTTTCAATTCTTACTTAGTTATTATTACACGCGCTTTCTAATTCTCATTTAATTATGATTCGCAGTCTTTTCAACTCGAATCATGTTACACACGTTTCTCTTCGCATGATATGTATTTTCTGTTAACCCTCTACAGCTCAATGTTGTATTATTAATTTTATTTCATTTCTTAACCGCAGTATGTGGCAAATGTATCTTGTTTTGTTGTTTGTTCTTTGTAAATCAGCATATTAACCCTTAACGCTCCGTTGGCTCCGCTATGGAGACAACCGTCATTTGTTCAGTAAATCCGAAGGCTCTGCTGCGGAACCCACTGTTTTTACCATGATTACACCGGAGATGCTATGTTTTTGTCGACGTTGGCAATTGTTATTTGTAGTGAAAACGTGCTTAGCGTGCGTACCATTGCGATTAAGACATTTTTTGCCCATTTTTATACTTAGCAACATAAAACGAATAAAATCAAACGCTTTCGGAAGGACGCGTAATCTTTTCCGCTCGAAATAAGACTTCCTTTATCTCGGGCGCTTTGCTTCAAAAATGTGCCGGAATCGCTGGTAGTGATATTTTTCAGAAAAACGCTGTTCAACTTTATTTTAGAACGTCCGAAGAATATTTACTAATTTTTAATTTAATTTAATTATCAATTGAGCCGATTCCAGCGAAGATTAACAATACAAAAAATTCCGGCAAACTCGCGCAAAAGATATTATTGTTTCAATAATTCCGTATCCAAACAGAATTCAACAGACGATTCGCAATGCTAATTTTATAATAAATCGCGTGAAAGAGCACGAGGGATATATTTATTTAAGAATTGCGAAGAATATCGTTAATAGTAAATTTACCCATTTCGATGAGGATGCATTTGCTGCTTGGAAATTTCGGTCACAATTCACGATGTCGATGCACCGACCTCGCGCAATGTTAAGTAGACACCATTACGATTAAAAGATTTTTTACCCATTTTTATACTTTGCAACATAAAATGAATAAAATCAAACGCTTTCGGAAGGACGCGTAATCTTCTCCGCACGAAATAAGACTTCCTTTATCTCGGGCGCTTTACTCCAAAAATGTGCCGGAGTTGCCGGTAGGTAGTACTCGAGAAACGCGCGGAGCGCTAAGGGTTTAAGCATCGCAATGTTTCAATTTTATCATCACAGTAACGATCACTTTTTCCAGAAATTGCAAATTCATTGGTAGCTTTTATCTAGAAGTTCATATTCAGCTGTTTCAGGTTACACAAATTGTTACGCAGACCTGCATTGTACGCGACAGATTAAGGCGAACATTTGTTTACCTTCGGCTACGCTTTCCTTGAGATCGCAACTGGTACGCTCCTCGGACCTCGTACGTTCCAGTTCCTGTTCCAATTCCGTTGGCGTATGGGGCGCGGTATGGGAGTGTGCGGGCGTCTCCGAAGGGTGAGTGAAGGGTTGATAAAAGTGGTTCTCCAGTAGAAGCGGATGCGGTGCGGATGCCGGCCTGAAGGCCGTGCCATCGCGCAACACGCTCGCCCTTCCCAGGGCATCCACGTCGCTGGGCGATCTAAAAATATCATCCCCAAAAGAGTTCGCACGATAGCCAAGCAAGGTGAGCAATTCGATATCGAAGAATAGCTGAGACGCGGGAAACGATCGGATAGCCACTGCGCGGACAAAAATGGTGGCGGTGGACCCTTGACTCTTGTACAAAAATTCGGGTTAAATCGATCCGCTGTCGCATATTTGAAGAAGAAGACCGTAGAATAAATTCGGTTCGCTTAATTGTTACAATATATTAACAGGGTGGCATATATATATATATATACACGGTGGCAGCACGCTGGTGCCATGCAAAAACTATCTGCTGTATGCCGATGGTACCACTTTGGTGCCATTTTAAAAAATTGAAATAACATTTAACCCTTTGCACTTGGAAGAGATTTTGCAAAAATTGTGATTTCGTTGTACAGAAACGAATCGAAATAAAAATCATTATGTTGCTGAGAAATTTATAGGCACTGTTTAAATAAAAGATTTTGCGTTTTTATTTATGCATTTTACGCGATTACCTTACATTCTGAAGAAAAATAATAATTAGAAAGAGACACCACTTTGTGGCATAAATATATTGCGTCGCCGTATCGTCGACATCCGAGTGCAAAGGGTTAAAACTTGTAACTAGATCGCGTATCTCTTCGTGCATCTGTGCGGTTGCTTATAGCATTTATCGCCCTACTCAGGGGATACAACGAAATTGTATATTTCATATTTTACATTTCATAATTAACACTATGCCGTCCGGTGGCACCACGCTGGTGCCATGCAAAAACTATCTGTTGTATGCCGGTGGTATCACTTTGGTGTCATTTTAAAAAACTGAAATAACATTTGAACTATATTTCTTGGGTGTTAAAAGGCAGCAAACTAACTATAGCATTGTGCTTGTTTAACTAAGAATTAAATACGAAGATTCTTGGATGACATATCTTAATTTTAGGAATTTATATTACCGCCATCTTCGAAATTTTTTTTAAAGTCTAAAATTTCCAAGCTATTACGCCGGCGTCAAACGAAAGAATCATATCTAAGATCTGCGGACGGCATAGTGTTAATTTAATCGTATCTTTACTGTAAAGTTCAATCTAAGTTGGTAAACGTTTCGCTGGCCAAATTAGTGTAAATTTCCAATATTTTTCTAAAACGGCTTGCTAGTTTCGAAGACATCGTAGTACCAAATATAGTCTGTAAGAATCAAATCAATAAATATAAACGTTCCGCCATTGGTAATGATCAGAAAAATGGTGTCGAAATTTTAGACACATTTTTAATATCAGCTTCGACAACAAATCAATGAATTTAGCAAAAGTTGAGCGAATTTAGCAAAAACATTAAAATCTACGTCCCTCCGATAACACTTTACGATACGAGATTTTGCGTATTAAATATTTCAGGTGCTCGAGCTTTATACATTACGCGACACACCGTGCGCGCAGGTACGAAATATTC